AGCGACGGGGCCGCTGAGGGCAGAAACGGGGCCACGAAGGGCACAGATGGGGCCACGAATGGCGACAGCGGGGCCACGAAGGGCATGCATATGGGGCCACGACGGGCGCGAACGAGCGGGGGCCGCGAAGGGCATTCGTATATGAGGCCACGAAAGGCGACAGCGGGGCCACTGAGGGCGAGAAAGGTGCCACGAAGGGCAGCGAGAGGGCCACGAAGGGCGACAGCGGGGCTACGAAGGGCATGCGTCTGGGGCCACGACGGGCGACTGCGAGCGGGGGCCACGAAGGGCATATCATGCGGGGCCACAATGGGCAGCGACGGGGCCACTGAGGGCAACAACGGGGCCACGAAGGGCAGCGAACGAAGGCGACCGCGGATCCAGTACGGGCAGCGAGGGGCACCGAAGGCGGGCGAAGGGCAGCGAGCGGCGACTGCAGTCCCTAACGGGCTGGTCGGGCGGGCAGGCCCTGACGGGCGGGTCGAACGGGCGGGTCGTTGAAGCGTAAATTCTGCTTGAACCGCCAGGCAATTTGCGGCGAGAGATTCCTGAGTGCCGGGGAGCGGCATCTGAATACATTGTGAGGAAGTATCAGGCGGGAGCCGCGATTCGGTGGTAAGTTGCGCGATTCTTCAATAACTTGTGAGGAAGTATCGAGCGGGAGCCGCGATCCGGTGGTAAATTGCAAGGAAGTCCCAAGCGAGAACGCGATTCTTCAAAACATTGTGAGGAAATATATGGCGGGAGCTGTTGTTGTTGTTGTTGTTGTTGTTGTTGTTGTTGTGGTTGTTGTTGTTGTTGAAAACGGGGGGCCAGCGACACAGTTTGACCCGCAAGAGTTTCCCTGATAAAAAAAAACAGGGTGCGAGCCCCGGGAAGGGCACTTCAATAGAACAAACAGTGTGCACCAGACGGGGGGAGTCAACAATGATTACTCTTCGACTGCATCCCCTTTTCGGGGGGAACGTCCTCCTTGTCAACCACTGACTGAAGTGCGAAGAAGTCTCGAGCGAGAGCGCCGTTCCTGAGTTCGGGGGCCTCTCTGGCCAGGGGCTCTTGGAATACCTACGGAGAACTATCGAACGGGAGCCCTTGTCGCCGTGTCCAGGCTTCTACCAACTTGCCTGAATTACGGAAAGTTTAGAGCGAAAGCGCCGTTCCTGAGTTCGGGATCCTTCTTGGCCAGGGGTTCTCGGAGTAAACCGGTAGGAAGTATTGAGCAGGAGCCCTTGTCGTCGTGGCTGGGCTTCCGGGCTTCCGCCAACTTAATTGAATTGTGAGGAAGTCTTGAGCGAGAGCGCCGTTGCTGAGTTCGGGGGCCTCTCTGGCCAGGGTGTTTCGGGTAAATTGTGAGGAAATATATAGCGGGAGCCGTTGTTGTCGTAGCTGGCCTCCAAGGGACCACATTTAGGGTCAAGCCAACGCTCGAACGGGAGCCTCGTCTTCAGAGAAAATGTAGCTGGCGTCGAGGCGAGAGCGCGCGGACCCGATGCCGGAGATCATCAGTAGGTAGTTTCTTTAAAGAAAATGAATATCCAACAACAACAACAACAACAACAATCATTTCAAGACTCTTCGCCCTTATCTGCTCGAGTGTCCAATAACGCGTATTTCCCAACCCATTTCGTCTTCGATCGAACCCCTTTTGGGGGGTGTACCTTTCTTCCTTGCAGGCCGGGCCCCGGCAAGCGGCGGGGCGGCCGCGGACCGTCGGCTTGGCCAGCGGCAGCGCTGATCGGCGGGGCGGCCGCGGACCGTCGACCCGACCCCAAGAGGGACGGACAGGGGACCGACCACGACGACGACGACGACGACGACGACGTCAACGACGACGGCGACGACAACGACGACGGCGACGACGACGAGCGAAAGCGAGAGCGAGAGAGAACTACAGCTGGGCCACGAAGGACACGAAGTAGGCCACGAAGGGCGACAGCGGGGACAGGAAGGGAATGCGTATGGGGCCACGAAGAGCACGAACGAGCGGGGGCCGCGAAGGGCAGATAATGCGGGGCCACAGAAGGCAACGATGGGGCCACTGAGGGTAGCAACTGGGCCACGTAGGACAGTGAGGGGGCCACAAGCGGCGACAGCGGGGCCACGAGGGGCATGCATACGGGGCCACAGCGGGCGCGAACGAGCGGGGGTCACGAAGGGCATGCGTATGTTGGGCCGCGGAGGGCAAGGACGGGGCCACTGAGGGCAGCAACGGGGCCACGAAGGGCAGCGAGGGGGCCACGAAGGGCGACAGCGGGGCCACGAAGGGCATGCATATGGGGCCACCGCGGGCGCAACCGAGCGGGGGCCGCGAAAGGCATGCATATATGGGGCCACGAAGGGCAGCGAGGGGGCCACGAAGGGCTGCAACGGGGCCACGGAGGGCAGCGAGGCGCTCCTCCTCCTCCTCCTCCTCCTCCTCCCCTCCTCCTCCTCCTCCTCCTCCTCCTCCTCCTTCACCTCCTCCTCCTCCTCCTCCTCCTCCTCCTCCTCATCCTTCTCCTCCCTCCTCCTCCTCCTCCTCCTCCTCCTCCTCCTCCTCCTCCTCCTCCTCCTCCTCCTCCTCCTCGGGGGACCGTGCCCCCAGATCTCTGGCGGTATCCCAGACTCCAGTAAACTTTGAGCAGCTGTTTTGTGTAGTTTTTTGGTTTCGGATGCCCTCAGCGGGCCCCAAGGACAGTACACGCCGGCCCTACGTTTGTCCAGACCTCCAGGAGTCCACGCATCGAAACATTTGCAACAACGGATGTCGGGCATGACGTTTTGAACCCGCTTTGTGTCCTCTGGGCCCCTGGGGCTGCGGATTGAGAAGAGCACATCGGCGGATGTCAGGTTCCGAAGTTTACCGCAGCTCGGGCATCTGGGCTGCGTCCTCTGGGAGGCGCCGCTGGGCACGCAGAGCCGTCTTCAGGCCCTTCTGGAGGCATCGTGGAGGACATCCTGGACCATCCTGGACCATCTTGGAGCCTGCTTGGCCCAGAGGCCTCCCAAGGATGCCTCAGACATGCCATGATATGTCAAACACCCTGCGTTTGTTTCACCCTTTGGGGTTGCCTTTGAAGCTCCTGGGGCCTTGTTGAAGGCCTGACGTGCCCCTCGGGGAGCCTCTCCTGAGGGGCCGTGTTGGAGCCCTGGTGTGCCCTTCTGGGAGCCTCTTCCGAGTTTTCCTGCTGCCTCCACAGCCCAGGGGAAGCGAAAAGGCGAGAGTTCGAAAAGCACTGAGTTTCATCGAGTTTGGGAAGGAGTTTGGCCTCTCGCGGGCCCCCTTGGGAGGCTCCGTGGCCACTCAGAACCGTGTGGGGGCGATATTGGGGCCTGGTGGAGGCATGCTTGGCGGCTCATTTGAACCATCACGTGATTTCTCGAGCCATCTTGAATGAAGGCCAGCTTGGGCTATCTGGAGTCAAAGTTGCCGAGGGACGTCCCCGTGAGGCCATCCTTTGACAGCATTGCGTCTCTCAATCGTTGAATCGCTGAAAGGAGGAGGGGGCGACGCTGATTTGCGTCGCCCCCCTTACAAGCCCGGCACGTCGCCTCTTCGGGCTCTCTTGGGACGCTCTTGGGGCGATAGTTTCGCTCTTGGGGCCGTCCTGGAGACATCTTGGGACCTCTGGAGCCCACTGGGAGGTTCCGTGGGAGGCTCCGTGGCGGCATTGGGGTAGGAGAGGGTGGAAGATGTACGGGGCTTGCCTAGCCATCTTCGAGACGTTCGTTTGGGAGACAGAGTCCGTACTTTCAGGCTGTCGGTCTGACCGTGGGGTAAGGAGAGATGCAGTGCGGGTGGGAAGAGTGTCGGTGAGAGGGTGGATGAGTGGGGGGGAAGGGGAGGGGAGGTCGGCGGCGAGGGGAGGAGACAAGCTAGGCGCGCTCGCGCCATACCTGACATCCGACCCCATCCCACCCACCCCTTCACATTGTGCTGTTTGTGTTCCTTGTCCGCCGACGCGTGTTATAGCGGACCTGGAACTCCAGTGAGGACCCCATCGTGTACTGCGCAGTGGGAAACGAAGAAAGAGGAGCTGCGCACCCTGGAGGAGGAGGCGGCGGACGAGCAGGAGGATGAGCCGGAGGAAAGCGAGGAGGAACCGGGAGGGCAGGCAGTGGGAGAGCAAGGGGGGGGGGGGGGGGGGCGAGCGGGGAGGGGGGAGGGGGGGTCTGGGGGAAGGGAGGGGGCGGCAGAGGGAGGGGGGTCGGGGGAGGGGGGAAGGGCAAGCTAGGTGCGCTCGCGTCATATCTGACGTCCTACCCCTCCCTCCCATCCCTTACCATGGCGCTGATTTTCTCTATCCGCGGACGCGTGTCGTAGCGGACCTGTGGCTCCGCGCGCGCGTGCGTAGTGGGTGGTGGTGCACGTGCGTGCGTGCGTGCGTGTGTGCGTGGTTGTCGTGGTGGTGGTGGTGGTGGTGGTGGTGGTGGTGGGTGGTGATGGTGGTGGTGGTGGTGCTGGTGGTGGTGGTGGTGTTGGTACTGGTGCTGGTGCTGGTGGTGGTTGTGGTGGTGGTGGTGGTGGTGGTGGTGGTGATGGTGGTGTTGGTGGTGGTGGTGGCGGTGCGGCGCGGTGGTGGCCGGCGGATGGGCGCGCGAGAAAAAGGCCCGCGCTGGGGCGAGAACGCCATCCTGAACGACGGAGGCCAAACACCGATCCGAAAATGAGGCCCACGCTGCAGCGGGAGCACGATTCGGAACGATTCGGGAGCAGATATGGGGCCGGCGCCTCAACGAGAGCAGCATTTTGGGAAAAAATGACGCCGGCGCCTCAGCGAGAGTCGTTTCCCGGGATTTCCCGGGCATCCTGTGTGTAAAAAAACAGTACGCGGAGGTTGCGCGGCCATCACCCGGACGCCATCAGGGGAAGAGGGAGAATATTTTCATATTGAGTAATTGTGGAGGGGGAAGGGGAGCCCCCGAAGCCGGCGTCCCCAAAAGGCCTCTGGAGGCCTCTCGGCCGCGGAGGCCCTCCGGGAGGCCCGGCGGCGCCCCGCGGGCGCTGCGCCGCGCCGCAGGTCGGCGGCAACTTCCTGGGGCCCCTCGTCGGCCACGACGGCGGGAGGGGGTGCCCACGGTCCTCCTCCTCCTTCTCCTCCGCCTCGTCCTCCTCCTCCTCCTCCTCCTCCTCCTCCTCCGCCTCCTCCGCCGCCTCCTCCGCCTCCTCCTCCTCCTCCTCCTCCGCCTCCTCCTCCTCCTCCTCCTCCTCCTCGGTCTGGGCCGCCCAGGGTGGGGTTCGAGCAGGCGGGGTCGGAGGGTGGCGCTGTATCGCTGATGCCTCGGCGATGCGGCTCGATGCGGAGCCCGATCGTCTCCACGCCGACGTCGCCGATGCATCGGTGGTGCATCGACGGTGCGGCGCGATCCCTCGGCCCCGTTTACGCGGGCCCCGTTTGGGAGGGCTCTGTGCAGTCAGCCGGGGAAGAGGATCGGCATCGGCGTCACCCCAACATTCTGATACTATATGTGCGTCGCCCCGCCAGGGGCGATGCGCGCACCGAGAAATGTTCTAGTATATGCGTCGTGGCGAGCACTTTCTGGCCACAACGCTCGGACAACTGTATACTACAAGATGGGTATACTAAATGTTTGGGTCGGACGCGCGCCTCCAAGGAGAAAAGCTAGTACTAGGATGTTGTGGTGCGTCTCATGGCAGACGGAGTTGTTGTTGTCTGCTGCCGCTTCTGCGCGGGCATGCAGCGGCGTATAGCCCTTGGCAGGGGAGCGGCGTGCGCGAGGGGTGCCTGACAGGGGCGTGGCATGGGTCTGAGGAAGTACGGTGGGGGCGTTTGTTCAGGAATGGTCCCAGGAGGCGCCAGACCCTGGAGGATTCCTTATCCAATGAGGGCGGCGGTGATATCCATGGCCGATCCACGATTGGAGTTCCACTGGCTTCTAGACTCTGGGTTCCTTATCTAAGGGTTCCTTGTCCAATGCCCACGCCGTCCGTAGCCATTTTGGCTCAAGGCAATGAACCGTCCCGACGACCGCGAGTCTTTCGGGGCGACTAAGCGCGAGGGAGGTTCTGCTTTGAGGCGACCTTCCTTTCCAACAAGTGTGAGCTGCCACTGCAGCACCCTGGACCTGCGGGTCACGGCTTCTTCTGTGTCGGCGGGTCCGCCCCCGTCGGCACCTGCCTGCTGCACGCCCGCGGCTGAGCAGCGCGCCCGCCCGTTCCGGCGATGGGGCCGAAGGCCGAGCCTGGCTTCGTCGTGTGCACGGGCTGCCGTTTCCGCTGGAACTTCCGCAGGAATGCGAAGTGCTGGCTGTGCGGGATCGGGCTGGAGCTGGCGCCCTCGAAGCCTTCGCCCCGCGTCGGGGTCTGGGCGGACGACGGCGGCGGCGGCTCCCAACCCGCACTGCGAGGAGGCGGCAGCGGAGGCCCACCGAAGAATGGCGCCAAGGGCGGCAAGGGCGGCAAGGGCCGTGGAGGAGCCTCCCGTGGCGGCGGTGGTGGTGCAGCCTCCCGTGGCGGCGGCGGGGGCGCGGGTGGCCGTGGCGGAGGCGCCTTCCCGACGGCCCCCTGGTCGGCCCCCCCCGAGAGCGAGCTCGAAGCGCTCCTCTCCTGCGGGGACCCCGCCATCGCGGCCAGGCTGCAGGAGGCAGTCCGTGACGCGCGGGGCTGCGTCGCGCCCGCGGTCGCCCCAGCTCCGAAGCCGCTCGAGCAGAGGCTGCAGTCGGCCACGGCGAAGCGGATCCACCTCCAGCGCCAGCTCGACGAGGCGGCGGACGCGCTCGTGGCGGCGGAGGACCACCTCGCACTGTGCCGAGGCTGGCGCGACGAGGCGGCGGTCAACCTCGCAGAGGCCAAAGAGGAGGAGAACGCCCTCCTCCGCCTGCGAGCCCAAGCGGCTGGTGTCGTGGGCGCCCAGCCCGATGGAGCGAGGCAGCTCACCTTCAACTTCGACGCGGAGTCATTCGAGAACTTCGCGGAGCTGGAGGAGGAGGCGCAGGCCACCCTCAGGCCTCTGTGACGAGGGGCTCCAGATCATGCAGGGGGCGCAGGCTACGTTCGAGCGCAACTGCCAGGAGCACCAGCAGCGCATCAAGCGCCAGATCGAGGAGGAGGTGGCCAAGAAGCGCAAGCGCACCGAGGAGGGGCCTGCAGCAGCCGTGGCCGCTGGCACCCCCGTGCGGGGCGCGGCCGCCCCGCCGCAGCCAGCAGGACAGGCGGCCGCCCCTGCTGCTGCCGCCGCCCCAGCAGCAGGCGCTGCGCCTGGTGCAGGGCCCCCCCCTGCGGCCGCCGTGGAGAGCCGAGCGGCAGACGAGGCGGCCCGACAGCGCGCTGCCGACCAAAAGGCTGCTGCGGCGGCCCCTCCACCTGCTGCTGGCGCTGCTGCTGGCAGCGGCCAGGCCCGCGGGTAGCACCCTGCTGCCAGGCGGCGGCCCCCTTAGCGCGGCGCCGCCCGTCCCAGACGGGGCTGACGAGGCAGAGGCGGCGGCGCCCAGCCGCCCCGCGGCGAAGGCGGCGCCGAGCGGCGGCATGCACGCCTACCTGGCGGCCAGCGTCGAGGCCGACGCTGGGGAAGGGCTTCCCTTCACTGGGCCGCTGCTGCGCCAGGACCGACGCTCCGACGATGCGCGCCATGGTTCCAAGTTCATGGCGCTCAGTAGCAGGACAGAGCCAAGCGCTGCGGCGGACTTGGATGGGCCCGACCGAAGGACTGGCAGGCCTCAGCCCAGCCAGGGGCCCATACGGAATAGTGGGTACCCAATTCAAGTTGGCGAGGCTAAGGGCGAGGGCGTGAGACCCCCTGAGGTTCGGAGCCCCAAGGCGGCGGGCAGCCGCCCGCCTGGCGGCCGCGCGGGCGCCGCGGCAGCCGCGAAGCCTGCAGCCCAGCCCCAGCCAGGGCGACCGCAGGCCAAGCCCCTCCAGCTGGCCAAGCTGCAGCGCACTGAGGCGGTCAGGAAGCTTGGCCCCCTCACCAAGTGCTGGCGCTGCCTCGGGAGGATCGCCAGGCAGCTCAGCGCGGCTGCTGCCGTCAGCTCACCCCCTGAGGGGCAGGGGGGCTACATGAAGCACCTGGTGCAGGTGGCCAAGAGCTTGGGGCCCAAGTTCGAGCAGGCGGGCTGCTCCATGTTTGAAGGCACTAAGCTGGACTCGCTGACTGTGGTGATCCAAGAGCCCTCTGTGCAAGGGCAGGCCTTCCTGCAGATGATCGAGAGCGCGGCGGCGAGACCCTGCAAAGAAGAAGCCAAGGCGGCCAGGCTGCGCTGGATGGACTACGTGGACGTGGCCTCGAAGAAAGGGGCGAAAGGAGCCCGCGATGTCATGCAGGGCCGCGATCAGGTGCTGGACTCGGTGATCGCGCACTGCCCCGACTGGCTGACGCTCCCCGTTGTAGTCCAGCAAGCCCAGAACCAGATCCGCATGGAGTGGAAGGCCCTCTGGGAAGGAGCCGATGGGGAGCACAGGACCAGACCAGCCGATTGGATCTGCTCCATGGTGCTGCCCCCGTTCATGGTGGGCGACAGCCTCGAGGCGGCGAAGTCGCTCCCGAAGCAGACCGCTCTGGGCGGCGATGCGTTCCACCCGCGGCTGGTCCTCTCCCAGGGCAGGCCCTTCGCCGATATGATGGCAGAGGTGCTCACGGCTTGGGTGTTGCAGCCGCAGCCCACGGCCCTCTTCACCACGGTGTTCCTCTTCCTGTGGAAGCCAGACGGAGGCCGCCGCCCGATCGGCCTCATGGGCAAGTGGTTGCGCATCTGGCGCAGGGTGCGCCGCCGCTACGGTGACAAGTGGGAGAAGGACCACCAGCCCACTTTGGTCTGGGGCAAGGATGCGAACAGCTGTGACATGGCGGTCTACCCACACAACCTGGGGCTCGCGCTCGCCCGCCAGCTTGGCTGTGGGGCAGCCTCAGTCTATCTCGACGGCAAGTTCTACGCGCGGACCGACCGCGACCGTTTCAAGCGAACTGCCGAGTTGGTGAGCTTGATGGGCCACCGCTACGAGGAGCTCTTCTGCCAGGACCTCTTCGTCGGCGCCCAGTACCAGGTGCAGAGGCCGCGCTGTGACCCTGGCGGGGCGCGCCGCTCGCGCGGCTGGGACGCGGGCGCACTCGTGGTGCCCGCGGGCACCCTCGTCGTCACGGACGGCTCCTGCGTCAACAACGACCTGATGATCAGGAGCGCGGTCTGGTCGGTGGCGGTTCTCACGACCGTTGGCGAGTGGGTGGTGCAGGCGGGGGGTGCGGCGCCGTCTGCCCTGAAGCTCATCCCCTCCCGTTCGCGGGCGGCCATCGAGCGGGGCGACCTCATGGAGGTGGAGCTCTTCGGCAACCGCCTCGTGGGCCAGCTCGCGAAGGCGGGCGCGGCGATGCGCGCCATCGCCGACACGGAGGCCCGCCTGCTCCAGGGCTGCCAGGCCCGCGCCCGCTTCGCGGCGCGCTTCGCCGCCGAGTTCGAGGTCTAGGACACGGAGTCGGGCTTGCGGAACCTCACCCCCTACATTGCGGCGGAGCTCGACGGCGAGGCCGACCCCCTGTTCGCCGCCGCGGCGGAGCCCGCCCCTGGGACAGGTGGATTCAGCCCACCGAAGTCGCAGTCCCAGGGGCGCGGCCAGTTCGGGAAGAAGCACGACGTGGAGGTGCGCGCGGCTGGCATCGCGGAGCTGGACGCGCTGTTGGCTGCTCCTGACGGCGCGGCGCTGGTGCGCGGCAGCGGCATCTCGGAACCCATCGAGCTCCCCGAGGGCCGCGAGGCAGCCGCCGCTGTCGGGCACGCCGCTGGCGGAGGCCCTGGGCAGCCGCCGCGGCCTGCAGACAGCAGCCTGCCGCCCCCAGCTGCCCCCTTGGCGCGCCGCCCGCGGCAGGTTCGCCAGGCGCCACGCGACGCGGAGCACGTCGCGCTGTATGGCGATGGCAACGTGAAGGAAATCGACGCGGAGCTTTGCGGTGGCTACGCCGAGGCGCAGGCCTCGGCGGCTGATGGCGGCCCCCTCCTCGCCACGGCGGCGGCCCTGGCAGCGGTGGCGGCTGCTGGCGCCTCCAGCTCGCGCCCTTCGCCCATGAGGCGCCGCCCCGCTTCGGCCGAGTCGCCCGCGGATGCCCTGCGAC